TCTTCCAAATGCTGGAAATAATGCAAAAACTGACTAGTGCAAATAATACCAAATTAAGCTTGCTGAGTCCAGTTGTCAGGACATGAATGTCTTAACTCTTTCATTGCTGGCAAATAGCTATTCAGACTAACCACAAAATGTCATTGCTTTGATCATCATCTCTCCTCTTGGAAGAAAGTTATTCCATCTTGTACACTGACCAGCTTTAATATTAAATACCAGATAGGGCCGTGAAGCCTTACTGTGGAGCCCACAGTGGGATTTAGTTGTGATATAATCCCTTCCCTTTACTAGGTGCAAGGGGACTGAAACAGTGAATGGATATGGCTATGTAGGCCTCAACCTGATGCTTCACCCTCTTTGAACAAAACTTCAGGGGTGCTTGTTGTAAGCACATAAGTGGACGGTATATTCCAAATCTCATTGCTGTCAAGTCAGAGCAAGTTCAAACAAACACTCAAACTCTCCCTCTTAGGATGCGTATGCTAAAAGACCTGGACTCTAACCTAGAAGGAAGTTTGCATCACAAGTTTCATTACAAGATCCAAAATGAGTACCTCAATGCTTTGTTTTCAGTCTTTTGCTATACCATGTTGACACTGGTCTATGTTATCTCTACCCGCTTCCTCTCTGTCAGGCTGGCAAAACTTCCCCTTAGCTCTGGGGTTTATTCTGTCTCTGGAGAACAAGTCAACTCTCCACTGGCAGTCAAGAGGAGCTCCTACTAATAGAAGCAGCACATCAAAGCCTCCTTGCATCGCACCGAGGGTTCGTCCCAGAAAATGAGGGCCTTGGTGGCCTGCAGGGCTCAAGTTCCTGGTACAGCCCAGTGTCACCGACCTCACAGAACAGCAGCTTTCTGGCAAATTGTGCAACTGCACCGCCCCCAAGCTTCCTGTTTTGAAAGCCCAAGAAGCTGGAAAATGTTAACACCGGCACTTTAAAGTGCTAGTTGTGGCTTTTTTTTTTTCCTTCTTCCTAAAGATCTACGTGATACTAAAAAAGTCTACATATAAAGCAGTAAAGTGGGGCTGCCTTAAGGAACTGGGGGCAGAAGAGCAAGTACATGTCTCTTCAGGGAGCCTCAAGCCAGGCAGAGCACGGCACGTCAGAAGACCCGTAGCAAAACCATCCCATCTTCCCGTGACCGGTGTAACATTAGGTAGCTCGTTGTCTCTCCACCTCGCATCTTGCCCTCTCCAAATTAGAGTGTACGGGGTGTGCTCCGTCGCTGTGGTTGTTGCTAAGTTTTTCAGCAGCAGGTCCTGGTGCTACCAGCTGGAGTTGTGCTGGGCACTGCGGACACCTGCTGAAATGGCGATCGACAAAGACGAGCTGTGCCACTCGGAGTAAGAGGCGAGGTGACAGATGGAGAGGCAGGTGCTTCTGAAGTGGCAGCGAGACAAATGCGGTTCACGTGCCGAGCAGGGCTCACCGGGCCCCACGTGCCATGAGTGGCCACCTGGCCTGGCTTCCTGCTCTGGCAAGCCGTGTGACAGATCCGCACTCTGCCTAAAACCCACCCATGATGGGAAAAGAGGCCTGAGCAATAAGAGGACCTTGATACAGAAAACAGAGATATGGCAAATCTCTGTTTCATTCCAGCTCATTTCTTTATGGGAAGAAGAGCAATTAGAAAGAAGAAAGCATCGTGTTTGTCTTGAACGCTGCGCGGGAACCTACTTATTTCCAATCAGCATGACAACTGCTTCCTTTTCTGGCTATCACTGAAACTCCAGATGGTACATTTGAGCATACTTAAACCTCTAACTTGGCTCCTTGCAAAGACATTATCTTCCTGGTTAGTTAAAAATGTATTAATAGTAGTGGGATGAAAGCTCCTGCTCTCCTGCACTGCGCTGTTTGAATAATGAAATCTTGGTCATTCTGCAGCATTTTGACTGGTATTAAAATTAGGCATTTGAAGGGGACAAGACTCTGCTGAATGTGCTCCAGTTAGAACCACCTTCTGTTTGAATTTGTTTGTATGATCTTTATTTTACTATTTTGCTAATATTCAGAATTCTGCAAACCCTTAAACAGCAACAGTTATTACCTGTCTTCCTTAACCCTGTCACCCTTTTCCAGTGATTGCTCTGCACCAAATTTTGAACCTTTCTGAATCAGCCAGCTGAGGTGCTGCCAACTCTTATGGTTTTATTAGGGAATTGTGTGACATCATTTTCTTAAATCTCCAGCTTCAGGACCTCTGTTCTTTTCAGACTGCTGCACTTCGTTTGAGCAGCAGCACATTTCTAGATTCGCACACAGGGAGAAAAGCCTAAGAAAGTAAAGCTTGAAGCCAGATAACAAATGTAAGCCAAAACAAAAACCGAAAAGAAAAACAGCATCATGATTGTAAGCAAAAACTAATGACAAGTCTTTGCAGCTGAAGCTGAAGGGGAGGATAAAAAGACAGAGGAATTTTGATGGTGTGTGACCAATTGAAATCAGCCAAAATACCCTCACCTCATTCCTCCTCCATCACGCAGGGACCTGGTGGAGTGGCTGGCAACTGCAAGCTCAGGACTTTGACATCTAAGCCCATGCCTCATAAAAAGCTGTACTGTTATTGTTCTAAAGAAAATAATATCCTGTTTCCTTTTTAAACTGTGTGTCTCTTTAAAAATGTTAAATGGCTGCTACATTCCTGCCTTTATCCGAGACACTTTTTATGAGTCTGTACTTCCCTCTTCTTTTGCTTTAAACGAGCCGGCTAAGCAGAGGATTAGGGGAATGACTTAGTGCACATGTGCTAAAGAAGGGGAAAAAAATCCGCCTTCAAAATCTTACATAACTTAAAAAAATAAACACATAAAACAGACATACCCAGGCCCTCACTCTTTGTGCTTAAAAATAATCATCATCATCATGTGGCCAGACTGCAGTTTGCCAGCTGGACTGTCCTCTGAAAAAATGAACATTTTAAATAATGAAAACTAGAAACACATAGCAGCTCATTTCCCGAACTTATTTCTGATGGCGTTTCCCATTTCTCTCCTATTACCAGAGCTTGGTATTCAATAGCTGGGAGTAAGCAGCCACCCCTCGGGAAGGTGGAGGAAGAGAACTACCGAGCCCCTATCATGCTGTCAGGCACCTTCTATAAATATTTATGTGACCTACAGGATACAGCACAGTTTGAAATCTTGCAGTCTCCGTAGCCACTGTGCAGTCAGGCAGTTCCCCTTACTCCTGTGAAAGTTCCCGTATTTCAGGCAAGACCTAGGTCTTTACATAGCTGTGATCTGCTTATAGCATTCGCTGACCTAAATTGAGGATGTTGTACCGAACGGCGTGTTCCTAAGGGGATCTCGGCATATAGCGATGAACTCGTGTTTTGGGGAGGATGTGGCTGCAATTAGAGTCAGTTAAACATGAGGAGGACTTTATGTCCACCATCATGCACGGAAAACAACAGAAGGATACGCTAAGGTAATGCTTGAAGGATTGAGCCAAAGCTCAGTGAAGGGAAGAAAAAGTAATTCTTCTGCCACGCACTTATGTTAGAGTCATTTGTGTCTTGCAAAAAAACCCCAAGTTTTTTGGGTTATTTCTTAACAAACTGCAGAAAAGGAACCTACCCAACCCCCTACCCTAAACAGGAACTTGATCCCTAGTGATATCTTCCTGTCCTGTCCCTATTTATAGCAGTAAGGTCACCCAAATAAGAACAGAAACAATATCATATGATTTTTGGTGACCAACTGAATTCTGCTTATTGAGAATTCAGAGGAACACATCTGAATAACCCACATCAAAAACCACTTGGAATGAACACCTAGCTGTGGCCCATTTTGTGTGTAGAACAGCTACGCAATTCGTGAGCCACATGGTCAGCGATTTGTGATTTTTTTTCTACACCAAATAATTGAGTCATTAGATGGACAGAAATTTTCCTCACAAAACTGTTCTTCAATGTGCAATTGTTTATTGAAAGCCTAAAATAGACGTGTTTCCACTATTGTACTGTTAATGGTATAAACAATTGATGAAAACTGCAAAACTAAGGAATCTGTAAAGGTCACTTGATGGGCAGTTTGGAAAAAAACACATACATGCAGTAAAGCTGGGAACTTTACTGTTTGCAAAGAATTTATAACTGCTCCCCTATATATACTGCTATACAGCAGGGTTTGAATTCAGGACCTCCCACACCATGACAGAGTTTGACATGTAAGCTAAGGGAGTTAACTATTAGGCTTCTGAGCTGTACCTGGACTGACAGGCATGCTCCAAACAGCAACTGCAGCCAAGTCTAGAAAAGGCCTGGTTTTGGTCATTCCCTGGAGATAGCCAGCATTTTGTTTTCTATTCTTTTACCATAAACCATGACTGAAAAAAGTCAAGCTTTAAATATGCATATATCTATTTGAATATACGTTTACATAAATACATATTTTATACATACATACAAGCAAAAATAAAGGTGCTTATTTTAAAATCCTAAGAAAATTTTTCTATTTGACAACATTCTTCTTTCAAACTCATTTGGCATAAAGTATGATCCATAATTCTTATCTTATCATGTCAGGCAGTCCTTCAAACTGAATCTAATACTGAGGAGGGCCAAGTATTTCCTTCAAACTGAACCTAATAATGAGGAGAGCCAAGTATTTCCATCATGTGTAATGCAGTTTCCAAAAAATCGTTATTTACACAGCTAAATATTTTATGGGCCAAAGATTCAGGGCTACTTGAAATGATGAATTCATCCCTCCAAGGGGTTTTGTTCACGGATAAGAAGTTTGTCTAGGCTTGAGGCACATAATGAAAGGGAAGATTTAGTCATTCCCTTTCTTTTACAGGCTGCCTCTGTCCTTCCATTGCTCATTCACAAATCCCTCGGTGCATCCGTAGGCAGACAGCTTGTAGGTGGATGAGAGGTAGAGGCTGCTGCTAGCATTTTGTACTGCCTCTGTGAGCAGCAACACGCAGCAGAGCAAGCTTCCTCTTACAAACAGAGAGAGGTCAGCTCTGCCGGTGGCTTGGTTTGCATCTCGGCTTATTATAGCAAAGAGAGAGCCAGTGGAAACAGGGAAATTCAGTCCTAAGCAGCAGCCAGAGAGGCCAACTTTCTATGAATTAGGCATTGCTTCTGGAGAACAAATAGGCTCTCTGGACCCAAGGGTTCAGACCAGCTGTATGACTCAGCCTTGGTGTATTTGAACATGTGAAGAGGAGAGAAGGTTGCCTGCAGTGGTCCCTGCTCTGCACATGCCTGCAGGGCCAGCTCCAAGGGCTTGAATGTCTCAGCCCCTGTAGCCCAGCCTGGCCGTGATGGAGGCTGAGGACCCTGCACGGCCACAAAGCACAAACGCACTCATCTTCCCTGCCCCAGAACAGCACCTTGCATGTCAGCCTATCTCTGCTGTGGGCATCAACACCTCAAAGTTTGCATACCTTTTTAGTGATAAAATATAATGCAGGTGCAGATGAAGAACTATCTCAAAATAGTTCGCCCCCATCCCTTGCTCTTATGCTGTTTGCATTAACTTTCCCGCATGGCAGTTCATTACGCTGCGTGCTATGGCACCATTGGCAGCCATACACACCCTCCTTTTTTAAAGTGGACTAGAATAAGAAAGCTGAGCACTTACACAGGAAGGATTTTTGTGTGGTGCTTCTGAGACTGAAGGTTCTCTTTATGGTTAATGCATCATTCCTCATTACAGTCATTTCCTCTGAAGTAAATGGAGTTTTGCCATTATACTTCATGTTTATTGATACATATTTCCTAGCTGAATTGACATTCCCCTGTTGCCTTTTTTTCCCACCCTGAAATTGCAGGAAGTCAAAAAATCCTTCAACAGTAATGAGTTAAGTTCTGCAGCATGCAGAGCTGTGTGCTCGCCCATTAAGTGAGCTGGGGTTAAAATGGGCACCATTTACACATTAATATATATGCCAGGGCAGCAACACCGGTTCTGCTGTAATGTTTCAGGCTAAGGAGTCAACTGTTTAGCTGGGTTGTATCCTAGCAATATTTTGATACTGTTTAACCAGTGATGGAGTGGAAGACTTTCTTTGTGACTTGACATTGAAGACTGCACAGGGAGGCCTTTGAGGTTGAAGAATCAAAACCGTCTGATTCTTTGTGGTGGCTAAAATACCTGCGGTGTTTTTGGAAGACCCTGCTATTAGGATTTTCTTTCCCCTTCCCTACCCTCTCCATCTCCAGACCTGCAGCTGGACATAGCAGCTCCCTTGCTGTCTGTTCAAAATTGCTATTACGTGTTTCTGTGAATTGTTAATGATTTCCCTATACTTCATCTCGCAGGCAGCAGAAGTTAAGAGATGGAGGAATCGGGTGGCTCGAGGGACTAGTAATGCTGCACAAAGCTTTTCACCTCCTATCTGAATCCAGGTGCAATTTTTGCATGGCCAGAAATGGTTACCGTGTGATGCCTATTTGGTAGATTCTGAAAAATAAGTTATTTTCCGGCTTTTTTTCTTTTCTGGTGCATCTATGTCACAAAACCACTTCTTACCACTAGCAACAATAACACAGCCAACACTTGCTACCCAGTATGAGTAAATCTGAGCACCTAAGCCATAGCTAGTCACCTAATTAAGTGACCTGATTTTCTCAGGAGCAGAGTGTGTCTCCCAGCTCCCACTGCACTCAGCAGTTGTGAAAATCAGGCCACTTTTGTCAGTGGCCAAACATAGCTGTGACTAGTTTTGAGTACTGAAATTTTAAATTAAAGTTGATCTTGACAGGGCCTGGGAGCTGGAGCATCTGGAGGATGGGTCCTCTCCAGGTTCTGGCTGGTGGCTACAGAGGAGGGTATTTGGGAGAGATGCAGTGCGTGCCCTGTGTTGTGACTAACCAGAGGCTATCGGTGATCACCATTCCCAGAACTAAATTTAAAAAAAAAAAAAAAAACAAAACAATAAAAGAGTCTTACAGCTTCAGGTCCCATGATAAATATATACTTTGGCTTTTGTTTGCTTTATGCAGTATTTCCTCCTCACACTGAAAATTAAATTGAAAAGGGAGTTTATTGTCCCCATGGAAGAGATAGGCACCTTTTGAAATCACTCATGAACAAACGTGTGTGGGGCACAGCCTAATGCTTTCTAACGCCCTTTGGGGTCCCAGGAGCACAAAGGCAGCAGAGAAGGAGCTGCAGTCAATTCCAGCAGAGCTCTATTGTGCGATTTGTTCCAAGGAAACATCAATTCATTAAGCGAACAAGTCAACAAGGGTGGGTGGCAGAACCATCTGTCCTGCTAGATTGTGCATGACTCCTTCAGAGATCTGCTCTAAGGTCTGGAGAGAGTAAATAACGAGTGAGAGCCAGCTTGTCTGCCCTCCTTTGCAATAGAAGAAACTGCTCATTTCAAAGCCGGAGCTTTACTGGGAGGGCGTTTTTAATTCACTGCCTCAGATGCAACACAGACAGACACACTTCAGTGGCAAGATCTATAGTTAGGAGAGTCACATTTTAATCATGTTTTAAAGAGCATAAACAACCCAGGCAAGAGGGGAGGTGAACTGAGCAAAGGCAACATAGCAGAAATGGATGATGAAACCAGGGTAGGGAAGATCCACCCTGAGGCAGCTGGACATTGGTCTGCTCAAGGAGCAGCCTCCCTGAAAGTTCCCAGCCTGTGCAAGGGAAGACCTTTTTGCTCTTTGCTCTTGTCTGAACTACTTTTCAAAGCAAAGCAGTGGCTGTTTTGCATAGTGTATCTGAGTCAGACTAGGGAAAGGTCAGCAAGACAGAACAGACCAAACTATGATGTTGACCGCACAAGATACATCCTTCCAGAATGCAGGTGCTTGGACCAGCACTGCTGATCTGAAATGAATGCTGGCAGATAAGGGCAGCAAAATGCTTCAGGAGGAAGTATTTTCATAATCACACATTTGCAACACAGCCCTTTTTTGCAACATTATCTTTCTGCTTTCCTCTTACTCTCAAAATGAACAAAAATATGTATATTCAAGGGGCGGGGAAGCCAAGGGCAGAGCTGAAACACAGCTGAGTCAACAACACATGTCTACGAGCTGGTGGGTAACATTATTCCTGCATGGTTATCAGAGTGCTTTCAAAAGTCATCACTGCATACAGAAAGGGCGACAGGAGCACAGTGAACATCCTACACAGCACTATGGGCAGAAATAAGAAATGCTGAAGAGTCCCAGCTGCCCTAATCCTAGAGCATTGGGTTGGACCCTGGAGTCACAATCCTTTTCCCTCACTTGGACCTGCTTCCCATAACCACCCAGCAGCATCTTCTCACAGCGGGTAACACAGAGTGCATAGTACATTGATCTTGTCCCTTTGGTCAGACACATTCCCTCTAGCTTAAAGATGTCAGCAAGTCTTTTGCACTGTTACTAAGCTGTAACATACCATATTTTAGTAAGATTGGGTTATGGCTTGAGGCCAGCCCCTGTAAACTGGAAGTTTTCCTGTCCTCAGTCGGAGTTTCTGTCACTAACAGCAGGCAGCTCTGAGACATGCTGTATAACTCACAGAGCAAAAAGGAAACAGCTGCTGTGGCCAAATTAACAGGAGGAGAATACAACTGGCTGTCACCTTTGTCAGTCCTTGGTCTATGCCCCTGCTCGTGCTTCACACACCAAATGGCAGCCAATGGGGCTTTACCTTCAGTGGGAGCTGTGCTGGTGCCTGAATGCATTCCCTGTTAGTCTAATGCTGGGAAAGACACGTCTACCAGTGCAGCACGGTGGGTCTGTAGGATGCAGATCATTTTCTGTCGCTGCCTACCTGTAGGATCCCTTCCCCTTCCCTGGCTTTGGGGAAGAGCTGCCTGGAGACCCCACTGTCACCTCCTGCGAAGGCTTCTTGCTCTTCAGACCCACGCCATTTTGCACACATTTGTGACGGTTAGTTAGATTAAACCAGCATCCTGTTCATTTTAGTCTCCTTCCCACCAGATCTGTAGCACTTGTTGGAGAGCAATACTGCCCTTCTTCCCTTAAGTAGGAAGCTCTGAAGTCACCTATTCATGGGGAAATTGCCTCCTGACACCTCTGAGGGCCTGACTTCTGCCCCACGACCCTAATGTTTCTATCCTTTTCTGCCTCCTTCATTCATTCATATTTATGTCATTTGGATTCTGGGTGAATTCCTCATTTTGGCAGTCTCTAGTGTTACAAAGCTGAGCCGATCCACAGCTGATGTCGAGCATTTGGAAACACTATTATATGTCTACAAGTTAAACAGCACTGTGCTGGCTTGTTCTGCAACTGGAAAATTTGATGAACAGAAGGCTTGGGTCTTCCTAGCTGGAGTGAAAAGGGATTTATAGGCATCCTGACGGCAAATAATCAAAAGAGCACTTTCAGTGTAGCAGGGACTGAACGGAGGTAGCAAATTTTGGCAGGTTATTGTAACCTGAAAAATCTCTGGTTTGTGCCCCCTGGTGGCAGTTGAATTTTTCTTGTTCTCAGTGCTGTTGCGATGTCTGTACTTCCAGACCCAAACATTTTGATTTTCGTGCTGAGCAAATGACCAAAGAGATCATTAAATGCCAATAGCTGGTGCTTCACTATCCAGAAAAACACCAGGCCAAGCAAGGAAAACCCAGATGTCCATACCTCATACTTTGAACAGGTTGCCATGACTTTGCCCCTCAGACTGTGTGCAGCAATTTGACAGGCAGCACGTCCAAAAGGGAATCAGTCTGAAAAGCACATGCTGCAGGTTTCTAAAAACACAATTACAGCCCCTCCCCAGCAGGAACTCAGGTTCAAGCAATAGATGTGACTGTAGACATATAACCTAGCATCACTGAAATATTCTTTTTATTTTGCTCTCTCTTCAGACAAAAAGCACTGGCGTCGACAGGTGGAAGAAGTGTTCAAGCAGCATGTGACTGGTTGGTATGAAGTAATAAATGTTAGAAAGAGTAGAAGAAATTAGTGAATTTAATGTTTAAGATTTTTAGCCATTATAATGTGGAATGTTTAAACAGGGTCGTTACATGAAAAACACTAGAAAAAATAGTGAGACGTTATTTAAGTGCTGCAAATAAGCAGTCCAGAAACAAGCCTTGTCTGAGAGAGTTTGTGTGATCTCAAGTAATGGCAAAAAAACTGTGGGAGAAAGGAACCGCTACTCTCTCCACCCTAGCACCTAAACAGAAAACTGAGAGCTGCCTTTTCAAAGATATTGAGCAATTTCTAGTGCTCCTCTCCCTGTGTTTTGTACACAGAAAGGCAGAAGCAGTGACCCAGGTTAGATCTTGACAGCCTCAGTCTGAAACTAAAAACCAATTTTCTGTATTACTTAGCAGTGGTAATGGGCTGCAAGTGAGACAGTACATCTCTCCGCCTGACCTGCCAGAGCTGATTTTTTCCATAAAGCGAGAACAAAAGAGAGTGAAGACAGGGGAAGCTGATTTTGATGAAAAAATACACGTCTTTATCTGTCAGTGTAACAGTTCTTTCTCCCTCTCAGGCTGTTCTCACATGTGGGTGACCCATTCCTCGATGACACCCTGCCCCGGGAGTACGTCCTCTACCTGCGCCCCACTGGCCCCCTGGCTCAGAAGCTGTCCGAGTTCTGGCAGCAGTCAAAGCAGATCTGTGGGAAGAACAAAGCTCATAACATTTTCCCACATATCACCCTTTGCCAGTTCTTCATGGTAAACCAGAGCTCTTCTTTCCCTTGTCTTTATGCATGCATTCATGAACAGCCTTTGCCAGGCTCAGACTAGAGATGTAACACGCTTCATTCAGTCATTGCAGAAGGGTTTGTGCTTGGGAGTTGGGGGGTTTGTTACCAGAATGGCCCAATACCTGGGCTTGTTGAGGAGGTAACTGGTTTTTAAGCAGGTTGTTTTTCAGGGAAGAGCAGCAGCAGAAGATCAAATTCTCATAGTCTCAAGTGATCGTTAACATGAGAATAGATGGGGGGTGGGGAGGCGGGGAGATTAGGAAGGTTACTTGGGGATAGCTGATCCTGCTTTGAGGACAAGGAAGGGGCAGATGATGTCTAAACATACCTTTTTCTATTACCATGTGCTGTTTTTCACTGCATTATAGCAAAAGTAGACCATTCATGCCCACCCACCCAAGCCTTTCCTTTCTCTACTGCATGCACTAGAGAGCAAAGCACAGGCGCAAGGAATGATTCTGCACCTGAGAAACGCTTGTCCCGTTTCCTTTGGCAGTGTGAGGACAGCAAGGTCGACGCTCTCACTGAAGCTCTGCAGGCCACTGTGATGCGGTGGAAATGCAAATTCCCTGCCCCTCTACCTTTGGAGCTCTACACGTCCTCAAACTTCATTGGGCTTTTTGTCAAGGAAGAAAGTGCTGAGGTGCTCAAGAAGTTTGCTGCAGACTTCGCTGCAGAAGCTGCTTCTAAAGCAGGTGAGTGACTCTGCTGGCAGCTACAAAGAGCTCATGGCTTGGTCAAAGCTTGGGCATTTTCAAAAACCAAAGCTGTGATGGCATGAAGAAACAAAGCTCATGAAGGTAATACCTGATTTTTAAAAGCAGCCTGAAGGCTAAAAGCCCAAGAGGAACACCCCATCGGGTGCTTTGGGTTTCAGTGCTTTTTCAGTTGAAAGATCACCTCACACTTAGTCTGAAGTGTTATCTCCCGAAAGGGAAGTTGACATTTGGTGGTTCCTTAACCTTTCAGATAGACGCTTTGTCTGCAAGGCTGAGCATTTCCTGCTCCACTCACTACCTCAAGCCACTGCCACAAAACTTTCCTCAGCCATTTAAGGGCTGTGTTCGGTTTTTCACTGCATTTCTGAGATGCAGACAGGGCTCTGCGAGAAGACCTCAAGAGCCCTGGCAATCTAGAAGGGAACTTTTTCAAATCTCAGTACCGACACGTCTGGCTCCATTGCCTGGTCCTGTACTGCTGCTGGAGGGAGGAACCCATCAGGAGCTGGGAGGGCGAAAATAACCAGAGCAGCCATGCTCCAATGATCTCCACTGCTGAACAGGCTCTCTGGGTGTCCTCTGATTACCTCCAGTCTTGGAAGTCAGAACAGCATCGGAGCACTACGCTAGCTCCCTGACTAATCCTCCCACCCTCCATCGCTGTAGTGCTCAGCCTGGACTAGTCACAGCACAACCAGTTTAGTCCTTTATTATCACAGGCTTCTTCTGGGGTTTAAGTGCATCAAGATAAAGCAACTTTTGAGTCCCTGGCATGTTTCTGTGCCAAACAGACACCCCATAACTCTATGCAGAACAGCTACAGGCCTCTGCCCCTGGTTCAGAGGAAGATACACAGATGTGTCGTAGGTTCATCACAGCTCTGAAATGCATTGCTTTCACCTGACAGTGACCTAGAAATTTTCTTCCCTTTGGAAAAAGGAGGAAATGGCTGTTATCTTTACAAATGCACAATTTGGAAAGCAGCAACAGGCACAGAGGCATTAGGCGGGTCCAAGGACTGCTGCAGCCGTGTGAGAATGGTACAAGTGTTCCCCTGCACAGTGCAGACATACCCTCCAAACCAGCAGTCAGAAGGGGCAGTTCTTACCCCAAAAACACTGACCCGGAAGAAGGAAGCATCAATGGCTCCCAGCAAGCTTCTGCCCCTGTGACTGCTCCAATTCAGACCAAATTGGTCCTTTCTTAGGGGAAGCCGATTGCTGCATTGCAGCAGTCCACAGCTTGGTCGGGTTATCACAGTAAAGTCTCTGGGGCATTTTCAGAGTTCCAGAGCATATTTTTTCTTAGAAAAAAAAAAAAAAAAAAAAAAGAGGGATGAGCTTGCAAAGCTACCCATGGCTGGCACTTGGAGCCAAGTCTCTGAATAGATGCAATTTTGACTGAATAATCAGTCAAATTTAATTGCAATTTTTGGTTGAATAAGCAAGAATAAATTACATGCAAACAATGTACCCCATGTTTCCAAATCTACTGGAAGACTCTCAATATTTCACATACTTTTCGCCTTTCTGCTTCCTGGAATCTTTTCCTAATAAAGGTTCTTTTTCTGCAGGATCATTTTGAATCATTATCGTATCTATGTCTGTTTCCACAATTTTGGAATACCTCACCCTCAGTGGGCAAACTAGTAATCCAAGTAATGCCCAGGAAAAAGATTTAATAAACTCGCATGAACCTGTAAATTCCATGGATTTGTAATTGCTTTAAGAGAGAGAACAGAGGAGGAAGAGTAAAAATTACAATTTTTAACTTGCTTATTTTGGAGAGATCCTCGTCTGCTACTGAAAGAAAGGCCACCCCTTTCCTGGAAAAGTGTCTTTCTTTGGCAAAAGACCAAGTGAGTTCAAAATTACAATAACTGTTATCACACCAGCCAGAAACCCGTTGTTTTCTGAATGCAAATGAGGTTTGGCAGTTCGGCAAGGATGCCTTGTCTACCACCCTGGTGTGACTCAGGACTGAATCAGACCACAAATCTCTAATATATTGATCCAAGGTGCAACACGTACAGGCAACTCACATTGGTCTTCCCCAAAGCCTTTTCAGAAACTGGCCTACAATTTGTTCCACTTGAGCTACCTTGAAAAGTTCGTCTCCCAGCTCCTGTTCAGAGGCGACACACACTCTTACATCTTTGAAAAGCTCGTAATCTCAACAGTCACTTGTTGTCAACTGTCATCTTCTCCTTGCAGATGTTCATGTAGAGCCCCACAAGAAGCAGCTCCACGTGACGCTGGCCTATCACTTCCAGACCAGCCACCTGCCCACGCTGGAGAAGTTAGCGCAGAACATCGATGTCAAGCTGGGCTGCGACTGGGTCGCCGCGATATTCTCCCGAGACATACGCTTCGTTAACCATGAGGTAAATTTTTGGAGCTTGTTTCAGTCCAAAAATTAATTAAAAAGAGGACCTAGCAGAGTTGCAGGCTGTTTTAGCTGCATTTGCAGCTCAAGAGTGCTCACAAGCTGCAAGCTGAAGGAGGACTCCCATGTGTCCTGCTATGAGCTGTACAGGTATGCAGCACAGACTATACCGACATTAAGGAATTCGCCTCAGGTCCTAGAAGGACACCCAGAACATAGATCTCCCACATCCTGCCAGTCATCTTAACCAATAGACCATCTTGCAGTTTTTTGCTTTTTACTCATACTGTCTAGACTTGCTATTTCACCCACCTCGTTTCTTGCTTCTTGCAGAAGCAATGTCCTGCTGGATTAATTAATTCTAACAATGACTCTCCTGCTAGCTCAACATAAGCTGGTCTGATCTCTCAAGAACTAGGCCAGTATCTTAACCTGACCACTATCCATTTCTTCTGTACAGACTTAACCTTATTATTAATTACTGCATTTAGTTTCATCATGTAAGAAACATTTACCCTCATGGCCTGTATACTTCAGTTACTTATATGGATTCTGTAACTGCAGTTTCTAAGTGTTTTAACATAGTTTTCTTAATAATGCTGTTCTCCAACACAATATACAGAAAAAAAAAGATATTATTTCCATTTTGTAGATTGGGATCTTGGGCTTAGAGAAACCATGCATGAGATTCATCTCACCTCCCTGCAAATACCCCAAGGTAGACTTCTTGAGTCTGCACCAGTCTGAGGCTCCTGTTGCACTGAAGCTCAGTGCGGTGAAACAGGCACCTCCAGAAAGTGAGTCATCTGACCCATCTAAGATGACAACCTCAAGATGAGATGAATCAGCTTCTGGAGGAGGGAACCTCCAGACTGTGCCTGCTCAGGCTTAGGCGGCTAACTAGACTCCGAAGGTTGGGGTGATTAGTCCCACCAAAGTGCATTGTACAGAATCAGACACACAAAACCTGTGGCAGAGGAGGAAGAAGTTTTTAGTCCAGCACATAATACACTGCAGAGTAAACAGATGCCAAATCTTCTGGAGAGCTGAAGTCTTGTGCATGGCACTCTGGCCATGCCGAGGCCATACTTCCTATGCCTGACAGCCCCCTTTCCTACCCAAACAATCATCTTCTCCTTTAGAAGCTGCAAGTAGTCAACGTATCACTGATTGCAAAGGGAGTTGCTGATGAAAACCAGCTCACATCTTTGCATATCTAACTTCAGGCAGCCATGTGTGAAAGTTTTGGCCTTGTGGTATCAGGTGACAGTGACTAGTTTCCATCTTCCTTTGAAGATACCACAAATAGTCTAGGAGGATTAGTGAGCAAACAGGCTGACACCGTCAGGAGATCAGAGCTCCTCAGCAGCTTATGGTTTTTCTTTGCGTGATGCCGTTGCAGAAGTTAGGCTTGGCCAGGGAGAATAAAACACGTTCAGTTCTCCTTTTAAACGGGGAACTGCTGTAGCCATTTCCAAGCAAAGTTGCTGATAGACATTTAATATGTGTAGATTCCTCATGCTCCAGTGAAAAGAAGGTGACTCACTGATCTTTCCCTCACCTTTTAACTTAATCCTGTTCATGTTATGAAATACAAAGAAAACAATGTGGCCACATCCCAGTGTTCCTCATCACCTGTGTTTTCCTGTGCGTTCTTGTGAACAGTTTTGAAAGTAGCACGTCACAGAGTCAAACCTGTTAGCCCCCTGACAGTGTCTCTGCCTTGTCTTCAAAAGCAACAGCAACAAGGAGAACTGCTTTTTCAGATCAGTCACTAACCACTGGAGCTGTGTAATTTCCAGGTCCCAATAAGAATTCGGTTCCATTTTTGACAGGGCGCTTAGGTTTAAGCACCCAGTCATGTTTTTCCTCTCTGTAAGAAATCATCACCCCCTTTCCCCCCTAGTTACCAAAGATATGACTGGAATCAAAGAGGGAAGGAGTAAACAACTAGAAAAGCTTTCCAACAGCAAGGAGTGGGAAGTGGCAGGAATTCTCCAAAGGTAAAGCTTTCCTGGATAAAGCACAAGGTGATGCATTACAAGGAAGAGCTGTTCCCACCTTGCTAAGGTTACAGGTCTGGTGTGGGAGTGCTTCTGCACCACTCTGCTAAAGGTTCTCTTCCATCAACAATCCTTTCATTCATTTGTGCTTCTGTTTCTCTCCCAGACTCTGCAAGTGATCTATCCTTACACCCCCCAGAATGATGATGAACTGGAGCTGGTCCCAGGGGATTTTATTTTTATGTCCCCAGTGGAACAAACCAGTACAAGTGAGGGCTGGATTTATGGCATTTCCCTTGCAACTGGCTGTTCTGGGCTACTGCCTGAAAATTACATCACGAAGGCGGATGAATGTGGGACCTGGGTGTTTCATGGGTACGTAAAACTGCTCAGTCCAGTCTCCATCGCTGTAAAAAGGGGGCTCAGCAGATGTGATTTCACCTGGGTAAATGAAGAGTCTCCCAGGGCTGCTGAGAAGGTCGCTTGGAGGAAATATACTGGCACACAAAACTCCATCTCCTAAGCAAAGGAAGAGCAGATGCTATGCCTGTGCATGGGATTAGAGGACAATGTGATTTATTTAGCTAAAATGTTACAGCAACTATTACTCCTAGGATCACTGCTGCTGGTTAATGGAGCCAGAGCAGATGGCCACTGTACAGCTGCTGCTGGGTAGACACCTCTGTGGTGGGACTAGGATCAGGAAGGTTTAAATTTGAGCATTAATTTCGGAAGCGAGATCTTCTGTGTGTAATTCCCTGGGGAAAAGGACTTGGGGTCAGCAATGTTTCTTAAGACACTTAGCAAGATTTTCAGAAGCGGTTAGTTGCCTGCCTGCCATTGGCCTCAATGAGGATGCAGACGTCACCTTTTGAATAAGTTTATGCCTCATGATTTTGGTGGAAATTAATTAAACAGAGATAAAAATCTAGTGCTTGAGGGGTGGGTCTGGGCATTCCTTTTTTTCCTGCAAGGCTGTTTGCTTCTCTAAGCACCCAAACACCTTTGACAAATCTGGAGCATAAGGAGTAGTTTGTACGTAAGAGCACAAGACAAGGAGGCAGGAGAGGGACGTTCCTGCCTGCTGCCCCTCTGCTAAGCACTGTGAATGTACAGAAGGTTGGTTACAGTCAGACCAGTGAATAGATCAGTTACAAAGGGAAGGGATGGAGATACAGGATGAAACACAGATAGTATTTCAGATTTCAGTGGGCAAACATGACCTGTGGAGAGAGAGTCTAAGCAGAAAGAGAAAGAATTCGGTAATTCATGTCAGCACAGAACAGCCAGAGGAACTGACTTAACACAGCACTTAATAGAAACTGATCCAACAACTCCTCAAATCACGCAAAATGCAGGAAACAAAAAGAGCAAAAAGGGCAATCAGTCATTTGCTTTGCCTGTGACTTTTCAGGCTTAACACACACAACGTGGTGAATGACAGACGGAGAGCAGGCATAGGGCAATCATAGCTTGCAGGCTGGCTTCCAGATGTGACTGCCACTGACCACTGCCCTTCTGTAAACCAGCCCGGGCTTAGCCCTGAGTCCTCCCCAACCCATAAGTCCATCAGGTAGGGACAAGCACAGCAAGAGATCACTCATTTACCCCTCTTGTCACAAGCATCTATTCTTTTCTTGCCTGCTTTCTGAGAAATGGACTCCACTAATAAAGAGCTTTCATCCATATGTTTGCCAAACAGAACAAACCTATCGATACTGAGTCTGTTACTGTCAAACTCCAGCTCGTCTTTCATTACAAGGCAAGAAGAGACCTCCAGTAACCATTGCTTAAGGAAATGAAAATCAAGACACATTGGCAAAGTCAATCAGAGTGTTCATACGAAGACAGGACTTAATCCAGATTCTCTAATCTGCAATTCAGCAAGACCATCCTTTCTTCCCCTAAAATTTGCCAGCCGAAATGATCTCAGGTCCACATATGCTACAGCAGCCTGCTGTAGTAGATTCTGCTTTTTTTTCTTACAGTGCCTGAAAGAGTTTTGAGGCCTAGGGAGCAGCATGGGAAAAAATTACTATTGCAGCAGCAACTAAAAGGAAAGCCAAATGTTTTGTCACTCCAGCACCCCTGCCTCCAGACAAGCCAAGAAAGGAAATGCCCCTTCGCTGACTATAAATCATGAATTGGAGCATGCAATATGGAGCATTTATCAAAAACATTAGGACATATCCGGAACCAGTCTCATTTTACACAATGGCTTCCCACTGGGAATATTAGGTTACAGAATGTCATGTGGTCAAACCAATATAGCAAGCTAAGGACAACCTAAGCCCCACTGCTGTCTAGGCCATGGTATTCATGGTGGGATCCTTGTGGTAAGAGAAGAACGGCACATGGATACCTTCATTTCAAAGACAAAGAATCACAGAATCATAGACATGAAAGAAAGCATGGCAGTACTCACCAGAACTGCGGGAGAACTGCCGCGATGCAGGAGATGGGACCCAGCTCGTGGTGTTGGAACCGAGGCTGCTGGTGGTGAGGGATGCTGTGATCCTGGGGGCTGGTTTGTGCTGCTGCTGTGTACACAGGCCCATCCTGTTTCATCCCTGCAGAGGATGAAAAAGAAAGAAATAACAACCATGGAGCTTTCCCTCCTAGTCACAAGAGACTGCATTCTTCAAGTGAAAATCATGCATCATTGAGATCATTGCAAAAATACAGCTCACTCTGGGTTGCAGCACCCTGGCTGTACCACGCAAGAGATACGATAGGCAAAGTGCTCTTCTGGGTTATTTGATCAAATCTTTAACACAGCAAAATTAGATTGCTAGCTCCTGCACATTTCACGTGAAAAAGGTTTCCCTGTTGCACTGCTCAAGTGAGGCAGAAGCGGAATTGTGGCCTTTGCAGGACTTGGGCTTTATTTCCAAATAGTGCCTGAAGAGCTGTGCCCAGCCCACAGACCTTTCTGGCTAGCACTGTACAAACATACAAGAAAAAGATGTCCCTGCCTTATGGTAAGGTCTGTACCTCAGCTGCAGACCAATAGGCTGCCACACTAAGAAGACAAGCTTGATCTATTTAATAGGGGAGAAGAGGCTTTGCCTTCAAGGGAGAGTTACTGCCCAGGAAACCAGGTTGTGTCTTGAGAGACTCAAGGTCTGAATCCTTTCCCTGTCTACTAAAAATAGGAGTGGTATCATTTTTAATCTGCAAACCCCAAGGATTTTCCATATATCTAAACTACATTTCTTCGCTGGCTGTGGCACATCTCTGCATGATATCTTCTCATGCCAAGGACTGGACCTGCTGGTAACAGCAAGGAGAAAGATTTGATCTCTGATCAGTGCTATAGGTTGGGAAATAATTGAAGATAAATTACTTAGGCATCCTACACAACACAACACAGATCCTAAGCCTGTGTAACCCATTCTTGCCATCCCCTCAGTAAGGATATGAGAGTGAAGAATAACCTCTCTGAAACAGCCTCTGGACTCTCCTTAGGGGACGAAGTGGTTGGGTTCGTGTCAATGTCAGGAGATCTGTTCTGAGTGAGCCTAGGAGAGGACCTGGCCATAGCTATGTTAAAATACTTTTCCCCCTGTATGGTACCAAGGTGAAAATCCTCTCCTGGTAGCAGCAGAAGCTACTGGTGGGCTGAAACTACTTGGGATTAATCTAAACTACAGATCCAGAATTAAAGATATATATACATATCTCCACCTTGAAAGCTCCTCAGAAAACTACTTGCCAGGTATTTTCTAAGTTGTCTTTTGTGCCTGAAAATTAGTGACCTATAAAGTCAAAAGAAGAAACTCTCCACCCTTGGCACATGGAGCCCAGAGGAAGTATGAAGCCCAGCGAAGGTACAAGAATTTGCTTGCCCCACAAAAGGCACAAACCCCAAGCATTCAAGACCGTGGGGCGCTCTGCATATGCATGTAGGGACATACAGCAGAAGTAAGTGTGCTGTCTTTGTATCTGTGGACCCAGCACCACGCAAGAGCTAAGATTTGTGATGGTTCCCTGCACTGCTTTTCCATTACCAGCAAAGCCAGAAACAGTCACCTCCTCTGTCCCAAAACGGATAGAAGCACATTAGATACTACACAACAGATTATTTCAGCTCCTTGTAAGATGCCCATGCCCCTTTAATAAGCCTGAGAAGTCAGACTTGGCATAAGTACCAGGGGGAGGAAAAACAGCTCTAATTTTTCAAGCTATATTTGTGCCTCAGTAGTATTTTTTCAACTGTCTTCCTCCCGTTCTGCAACAGTGGCTGGTTCATTTTCCCCAGGGATCCCTCTCCTCTAGATAATGACGAGCGATGCAGCAGAGGAGTCTTTTCCTACACAGAGCTGAGGACCAGTGCTTTGTGCCATGACAGAGACCCTTTCTCCATCCTCTGCTGCAGTATCTCCATTCTTCAAGACCTTTCCTGACTGGGAGGACATTGCCTCCAGGGATGCAGCAGTATCACTGACAGAGCAGTGAAGGCAAGGCATCATCCAGAAGACAGTAGGTGTTGTTGTCTGCCTTCAGTCTCTCTTTGCCAAGCAGAGGAACCACAAGCCTTTGGGAAAAGCTTACAAACAATGACCTATGCTTAGAGCATGACTAAGCTGAAATAGTTTGAGCGGTTTCTGTTTTCCAGCAACATCAAGGAGATACCACTGCAGACAGGCTGGTGGCTCTCCTCCAGACACAGCAAGATAGTATGTCTTTGCCTCATCATCATTTGCAGCGAATCCTAGCATCTATAAATAGACAGCAAAGCATTCATGGCCTTTTAATAAGGGCTTAGAGAGAAAGAAAGTCTCAGAAATTGTGTAGTAGCTCCTGGGGGTAAAGGGAAGAGGGGTAACCAAACAAATCCTTAGTATTCTCCAGGCCAGCAACCTTAAAAGACTGTCATTTGGGCAAAGCAGGAAAGGGCTGAGATGGGATGAGGGGCTGGAAGCTGCAACACAGAAATAAAGACAGAGAGCTCAGGCCCAAGATCCACTTAGTACAGCAATAGAGATGGGTCCTAGCTAAGAAATCCAGATTCTTCTTATATTGAGATATTCAAGTTTTTGGGTCAGTGAGGATGTATCTGTGCTAGCTACACCCGCACTCCAAGCTGACCACTTAATACAGTGATAAATGTCTGTTCATGCTCCCTGCTCAGGGCTTAGCCACCCTGGGCTTGGCACACACTAATGCACTCAGGCAGCTTTTGGATCGGAGTTGGCCTCATCCTGCCAGCTCAAAGTGTGGTCCAAGTGTACTTCTGCCTGCGATATATCACATGCATATCTTGTGAGGAGGAGGGTTAGGCGTGATTTCTCACCACAACACCCGGTAATATTTCCCTCAGATTATCCACAAAGCTCTCCTATCTACATATAACTCCTCTTCAAGATCCACCACCCTTGTTGCACCTCAGACTCATACCACGCCTAACTCAGAGGTATTTGCTGGCCTGACCCGTGATGCTCTACCTGCATTTAGGCAATGGGAGGAACAGTTCCTTGCAGCAAGCCCAGCCCTTATTGGGAACTCACCATGAATAAAATAAATACAGTTAGAAGAACCTGTAAACCTAGAAGGTCAGGTCTGAAAGAATAAGAGCAGGAGGCTGGAGAGGCTATCTGCTGCCAGAGGGCCATGCCTTTGGTGGCTGCTGCAAGGCTGCTGCCTCACGCTGTTGGGTGGGGATCAACAGTGCTGTCCCCTGCCCGGCTGGTTCCCACCTCCTGCTCCCCTTGCCTGCCAGTGCTTCTCTGCATGGCATCTTCACCTGACTGAATAAGCCAGTACCTCAGTCTCAACCTCGCACCCTAATTCCACTAGATACGGAACCGACGTCAGGACCAACAGTGTGGTATTTTTTCCTCCTTTAAACTGGTGCAAATCATATGATCTCGCAGAAGATCAGTTCTTTACAAAAATGCAGATGACCTATTTTTGTTCTATTGGTAGAGGCACTTGGTGTTATTTTAACAGCTATGAAACCCCTCTGAGATTTTATCCTAACTAGGTGCTAGTCAGGAAGCAACTTCTGACATATTTAAGGCACTGAAAAGTGCAAGCAACAGCAACTATTTCTGTCAAAGTAAATGACCATGTATATTATCTGACAATGTTTTTTCTAATGACTAAGCAAACGTAACCCATACAATGTAACCGAATCAGCAGAGGGTCACTTCACCTTCTGTAATTGCCTGTCAAGAGTTTGCTCCCAAGGGTTTTGGTCAAAGTCGTTGAATATCTGGGCATGAGAGCTTTATTCACAGGGACCATCATTAGATAAGGCCCTTGAGGGAGAATGGGATCAATTATATCCCTTTGGCTACACTTAACAGGAAGCACTGGTGAGAATAAATTCCACTGTAGATGGGAAATAGAATAGACAGCACTGAAAAATGTAGAAACAACAGCCCAGACTGAGTATGCCATGTCCCTACCAGAGGACACAAGCTATTTTGTGTGCAGGAACCCTGAAAACTGCCCGGCATGAGAGGCAGGGCTGTGCTCCAGCTTTCTACTGAAGCAATAGCTTATGCTGCAAAGGTGAATGAAAACTCCCTGTAGCTGTGAGGTTCCAAACTTTGGTCCACAAGACCATGGTAAGTGATGTGCATCTGGTCCCCAGATGATGTTAGTGAGCATCCTGTGGCTGTAAGGAAGGTCTTGGCATTTTCCACAAGAATATTTGAAGGCTGACAGAGCCTCACAGACCAAAGTTGGGGAACCGTGGCTCTGTGAAACTGTTTCTAAAGAGACAGAAAGCCTGTTGAGATGGTATTCGTCTCTTCATGTGTGTGTATCACCTAGCAAGGTGCTCTCTAGGCAGCAGTAAAATACAAATAATAATGTAATAACAGGACAACAGTAGTTACCAGCAGTTCCTCAAGACTACAGAAATGTCCTTGCTGCAGCCTGAGCACACAAAGTCCAAAGTATTCCCAAAGCCAACATCTTCCTATTTTTGGCAGGTCCTACTCAATTCTGAATACTACATCTTCCATGTCACTTCAAGCCTTCACTGACGGAGCTCTGGAAAGAAGACAGCAGGAAGACCAAGGACCCGGGGATGCGGGGCCACTCACTATCATCTGCCAGAACGTGCAGGTAGGGACGCACACACATGCATAAATCACACACAGTTTTAGTGGCAAGTTTACAGCAACTAGGTTTTCCCCACCAACTTACCCTCTGGTCTCCTTTCATTGTCTGCATCAAAAGTTACAAGTTAAAGTTCTCTACAAGCCTTTGAATGACACAGTTAACCACAGGCACAGAAAACATCACTGTCCCCAAACCTGCTCTTAACATAGGGCGGCGGGGCCCCACCCTCTGCTCACTTTAGTAGTTTTATATCAGCATAAATTTACCAACTTCAGAAGAGTTTCCTGTACCCGTATTTGCACTAAGGTAAAGCAAGAGGTGCCTGGTCCTGACTCCCGTTAGTAAACCAGATCTCAGAAAAGCCCTTGCACTTTGATGAAGGTCAAACATCCTGTAATTTTTCTTCCAGCCCCTGAGAATAACCAGCCAGCCAGGGCCTCAGAAACGCTGCCTCTTTGTCTGCAGACATGGGGAAAGGATGGATGTCGTTTTTGGGAAGTACTGGTTGTCACAGTGTTTTGATGCCAAAGGTGAGTCAGCTCCCATGGGTCTCTCAGGCTCTAAGTTTAGATGAAGGAAGGAGAGTAGGAACTGCCTGGGGCAAAGCTGAGATGGAAGCTGTGGTTTCCTAGCACAAAGTGTTGCTTTGAGCCGTTAGAAGTGGCAGAGTACCTCAGTGCAGAGCTCTGTGATGGCAGGGCTGAGGTCAGAAGCAGAAACACAAGCCAGGGAGCAAATACTACATTCGCTAATGTTTGGGAAACTATTGCAGGAAAGATTACGTTAAAGTAATGTCACCAAAGAGCATTTTCGTTTGGAAAAGAAGGCACGATGTTAGTCGTCAGTGTCCAGTGCAAACATCTACTATCATCAGGAAAATCTTTTGCACAGCTGGCTCTCAGTCCTGAATGAAAGTAACACCACTACAGGTACAGTTCAGAGCGCCTTTTGGGGCATAAGCTGGAGTTCGCAACCCAGTAACATACTTGAGTTTCAGACTATTCAAGAGACTACAACTTCAGGCTCTGTTGGCATTAGAGCTGATCAGAAATTTGTCCAAAAAGTCTTTTTTTAATTCAAAAAATGCCAATATCTTGTAGTCAGAATTACTGGAAACAACGATGATTTTACAACTATCTTCTTTCTAAATTACATGCGAAGAGCTCTGACTTTTTAGCCTCCCATAAAAGTGTAGCATTTGAGGTTACTTTGTTGTGGGACAGAAATTATTTTCCTTTGGGGAAATCTGTCCTAAAGATAACTTGAAAAACATTAGCAACATTCTCTGCTGGTTTTGAACTGATACAGCTGCTTAACTTGATTTTTTCAGATTCCTGATAGTTTTACACAGGAAAAAGTGCTCCACAGCCAGGTCTAGGTGCAAGGATGCAGACGTTGTGGTGAAAGAGGGTAGAAACAGGCGTGATGCTCTCTGCCTCTCTCTCTGATCAAATAATTCCAGCAACTGCTTCTAACCTTTCCCTCACAGGAAGGTACATGCGTAGTAACCTGAATATGCCTCACAGTTTACCTCAAAGAAGCGGCGGTTTCAGGGATTATGAGAAAGACGCACCAATCACCGTGCTGGGCTGTACGCAGGCAAGGCTGGTTGGTAAGTTGTCCTCAGCAGACAAGAGCTTGCCCAGGAAGCTTTGTTATCTTCCTCCCACACACCCAGCCAGAGAAAGAGAAAGTGCAAGGCAGAAAAAAATGAATTGGGTGCCCTGAACTAACAGGATTTATACATTTCAAGAACCTTTGCAAAGTCCCTTCACCTTCCCCAGCAAGCCGCCTCTTTCAAAGGAAACCTTGTCTCCTTCAGCTGCCGCAGCTGAAGAAAAGACAAAGCACAAAATGTAGGACATGGTATGAAATCAGAGCCATCAGCAGTGCGGTTGCAGAGTGTTCACTACCACCCTGTAAACGTGCCACACTGGAAGACGCTGTTATTATCATTGTTGGTGAGAAATGCAGCAGTGTGACAATCACCTCATGCAAAATATGCTTTTTCCTTGACTTTGACAATCTTAAATTTTAGCCTGCAGTTTGCTACACCAATATACTTTTATCAGCCTGTATGGCTGTATGGTTTTGCGGCAAAAACACAGTCTAAATTATTTTCGGTGTTCTCCCACCCCCCAGTCCTTGTCCCTGACTTCTGAGTCGGTTGTGTATAGACAGAAAATTATTTGCTAGTCGAAGAGCACATATTGAGCCTTGTGATTAGGGGAGCCCAGCCTCTTAAAGACATGAGCTTCAGAGAGCAGTAGTTAGCATTTTCTCAGATTCATATCCTTTCGAGTACTTTGAGTTGGTCACATTCAAACTAGGGCAGCTAAAATTATACTTGCTTTTTAAACAAAAATAAATCACTGTAGAACAGCAGGATGCTCAGACTCCCGGCCACATGGCATCAGGGTTTGCAATATGCACATAACAGAAGGTGAATCTGGGAGCAATCACAGCACACTCTGCTGATATCATTAAATGGGTCCGAGTACGCAACTGCATACGTGACCCAGACGCCATCAACCTGCCAGCGCAGCTGCGGCGTGCCAGCCATCTGCAGGCAACCGCTCCCCGCTGCAGCGGCACAGACTCGACCTTGACGATTGCTGGAGCCGTAATTCCTCTGACGACCAAAGCAAATGAGCAGCTTCCCCGTGACGGAGGGCTGTTAGATGTGCCGCTCCTTCTAAATTACCCCACTTCTCTCCAGAGATTTATAGATTGGTTTGACATGGTTACAGCCATCATTAAACATACAAAGTCAAGGTTAATAACCCTTCTTGCTCCCACTTCTTTGTCCTGCCTCTTCAAATATAGCAAAAATATAACTCTTTCTTATTACAAGTCTGTGCAATGCTGAGCAGATTCCTGTTCTCATTCGGTTCCCTTAGGCTTTGCAAGAATATTAATAACCCTAATAGTAGAGTTGATTCTTATCTCATTTTCAGTGAACTTCCACCTGTGTAATGAAATGGTAATTTATACTAGTGAAGAATTGAGCCAATTGAATTAAGTTGGGTTTGAGTTAAGTTGAATCACGCTGATTTACAGCTTATAAATTAGATGAAATTAAATTCAGGCTCTCTACAATTTTTCTCAGCACACTGTTTGCTTTTTGGCTAAATCTAAGAGAAGCAGAAACTGAGCAAAAGCTGCTGTGATTTCTTTGCATACCTGGTTAAGTACCTAGATGTGAGACAACACACACAGAAAAATGTAACCCAGTTCCGCAGCTGTGCACATCACAGTGCCCAGCACGCTGCTGAAATAAAGTATGATATTTCCCAAAACACAAGCAGTGCAGCTGGGAAGCTGCTTTAGCGCCTTGCTGGGTGGCAGACACCCTGCATGCTGCTATTGCTGTTACAATGCCATTTCTCTGGTTTTATTCACGGGTGTTGAAACTTGCTTGCAGGTGAAGCCTTGCTAGAAACTAATACCATTGTAGACTACATCTACAGCTCTCCATCCCTACGGTGTGTACAGACAGCACACAATATACTGAAAGGTAAGAACCCAACGAGCAAGAAAGGCTGCATTCTCCTCACTTGCTGGGGAAAACCAGAAAAACTGCCAACCAGATAAAAGGGAGCCTGGCATGGGAGATGCAAGTAAATGATAATTTGGGGTGAGGATTATTTCCATGGGAGTATACTTTATGTTAGCGCAACACTGTCCATAAGGAGCCCTTTTCTAATTGCGTGGTGTGACCAGTGCTCAGGCGGGCGGCGTGCTGGCCCTAACACCAGCTGCCGGTCAGGGTTGGGTTTACTGCCCGCCTTGCCAGATGCGTGTTCGGGGTGGGTGGACACATCCAGCTCAGCGTGCCCTGTGCCCTTGCCTGCAGCTGCTCATCGCTGCATGCTCCCACAGCAATTGCCACCACCGAGAAACTTGCTAACCCCAGTAAGAATAGTTTACTGCAGAAACTGGGAAGGGAAATAGTGATAGACGCATGAGATGCCCGGGCATTGGAAAAAGTCCAAAACCAGCTCTAAAATACACACCTAGGTTCACTATATTGCGTATAGCTGCTGGCCAGAGGTTTACATTCCCTGGCATATCATATGCCAAATACATACATTAAATACTTCCTCTTTCATACCTACTTTTAATTAACTGACTCCTTAGAAAAAATAATTTACAATCAAACTGAAGTATTAAAGCTGCAAAGTCTTCCTGCCTTCCTCCCCAGCACTTTCATTGATATCTGGTCTCTTATCTCCCTCTTCCAGGTATGCAACAAGAGAACAACCTGAAAATTCGAATAGAGCCAGGCTTGTTTGAATGGACTAAGTGGGTCTCTGGGAACACACTACCTGCCTGGATACCCCCTGTGGATTTAGCTGCAGCTACTCTAAGCGTTGATACAACCTACAGGTAGCAGAAGCGGGGGGTGAGAGGGTCTTGCATTGCTTTTTGGCTCTGTTTTTGAAGGGTAACACTCTGCTGAGTTTTTAAATTTAAGCAATGACTGAAAGAGCTGCTGAGGCTCCCAGAATAAAGTTAGAGCAGGCTTGAGGCTCCTTTGTTGAGCGTGACCTGAGGATGTCTTATTATAAACCAAATTTCCCAGATCACTGGCAAGGTCCAGCTATATTGCTGATCATGGAGGTCCTCTTTCCATTACTTCTTCCATCCTGTGCATCTTTCAGGTGCCCAGGAAACCCTCTAAGTATTTTTGTTTATTTTAACCCTTTTCCTAAAACTATGTAACATAAAAGTAACATGCCTGCCATTGCAAAAGTTTGGGCTCAGCTAACAGAACTAGTTTTGCTGACTCAGTTCCCTGACCATAATGTTCTTAGACTGAACCGAATCATGGGCTCGTTCACACCTGCCCTTCCCTTCCCCAGAGGAAAAAGCTTGTCTGTCTCTCTTATTATGATTAGCATGGTGATGGATCTTAACTGTAAATTTTGCATCACCCTGAGGAACATGTTTACATCTGTCAGGAATTCAGGGTCTCCTGTCACATCAAAATTCAGAGGTTTTCTATCAAAGAGCTAAACCCTAAGCATTTATCACTTCTCAGCAGTTACATCTAATATGTTTCTAGTGAAAAAATTGCAGCTTTCTGACTCAGGTTTTCATGGTATTCAACCCAAAAACAGCTGGTGAAAGCAAACAAAGTAAATGTGTGGTTAAAAAACATTTGAATGGCAAATGGATAAGCACCACTGATCTTTCCTCCTGCTTTGCAGAAAAGGGAAACACAAAGATAATTCGCTCGGCTTTCAGGGGCTCTGACAGAGCCGCTCCAAAAGCGCAGAGCTGACCTTCCCAGAGCTCGGCATTTTTGCCAGCCACCCCTGCAGCTACACAGACCAGTCCTGGTGCCTGCTTAGGCTCCATACCCCAAACTCGTGCCCTTGCTGCCAGTCTCTGCTGCTTTCCTTTTATCCAGCCACTCGGCCATACCTCTGCGTTCCCAATATCATTGCCAGCAAACACCGTGGAGCTGCTGGGAGCAACCTGAGTCTGGAGGGAAACTCAAGACTCTCTCATCTGACTCTCCAGTGAAGCATCACAGCCATGGTGCCCTCCAGCCTAACACACAAATGCTTTTTACTGTAAGCTGCAGAGAGAAAGGCTAAATAAAACCCAGCAGAAATAGTCATGTGGCAAAGAATAGACAAGATGATCTGTTCGGGCTTCCTACTCTCAAATTTATGATTCATTTATACAAGCCAGACTCAAAGAGCTCCCACAAAGAACAAAACTCTAGAAAGGTCACACAGTTCCAGCCCTCCACTGCACCTCACTGCTGAAATATCTGTATTGCTATGACTTCTTGCAAAGACTTGCACTTTCTATCTTAGTGTAAGCCTGATCACCAGCTGAGCAATCTTAGATAAAAACAAAATGTTTATAATACATACACATATATATACACAGGAGTTCCACCAACATGGGCTTGGTGACAAACATTTTGTGGCTGGGCTTTTGTGGTTTATGGTATCACCAGAAACGCTGGTGCTTCCCAGTGTCCCAGTGCACCCATGTGTTTAAGAACACTCAAGTGGAATAAGCAGCTGAAACATTAAAAAGAAGGAAAACTTAAAGAAAAGAAAACCTGATTTTTTCATACCTAATTATACCATAAATTACTTGTGTTGTGTCCTTTTGGTCTGCAGCTAAAATTCCAGCACTCTGAAGGTATCTAAATAGAAGTTCTTACACTGTATTTATCCCTGAAAGGGTATCACATGGCTAACACTCAGCAGAGCAGCTGGACCACAGGAGAGCCTCTGCTTCAGAAAACACATGCCTTCTGGGAAGACCATAACAAATATTCTCGGCACAAGAAAAGAGCCTGCTCTTGTGTGGTCAGCTGGTTACATGGGGGACTGGGAGACAGCCCTCTTGGTGCTCTCTGTCTCCTCTCACAAGGATAATTCCTGTAGATGTATCAGATTACTGGATGGAGCGAAAAGTTAGGTCTTTTCCTTGCACCACAGCATGAAAATACAGCCTTCTGCTTCCCATCCCTTGCTCCTCTGTGCACATCAACCTACTCCAGCTGATACAATTGGCCAGAGTCCCGCCAGGCAATTCACTGAAACGCCCTGGCCCAGGAGGAGGCCGGCTAATTCCAGGCATTTCCCAGTGATGCAGCTTTACAGATGGCCAAAGCAGCAGTTTGTCTCTGCCCTTCACCATCGAAGCATGAGCAGTGAAGACAGCCAGCATCTGCCTTCTCTACGCTCCACACTTCTCCCTGTAGCTGCCCAGTCTCCTCAGGCAGACACAGATGTTGTCAGCCCACCCTCTGAGCTGGAAGCTGTGGTGGCACAGTGCAGACCTCCGTCTGGCAAGGACGGCTTGGGCGGTGGCTCTTCACGCTGCTGTGACCACGCAGCTCGCAGCCAGCAGAGCCGACCCATCCGTCCGCAGGCAGCTGCATCGACACCGTCCTTGTCCCACTGTCCCTTCCTGCTGGCTACAGATTTTGTTCTCCTGCCACTCACTAACTTTGGGTGGATGGGTGAGCTCTGAATCCTGCTGATCAAAGGGCATATGCCTAAGTAAACACAAAGTGGCATCGTTATTGCTGCCTGCCATTGCAAAAGTAACATGAGTATAATCAGCCTGTCATGTGCTGCCTCCACTAACTGGTCCACATTAGAGAAAGGAGTTACCGTTTTTCCCAGCTAACCGAAATATCTTAATGCAGGTACGGTAAACATCGTGGTCTTGAAGTTTAAAAATCATCAGAGTGGTCCTGACACAAGACGCAGCTCCGGAGATTTGGGGAATTAGAAGAGTTAAAGAAACAGATACTTTCCAATTAATCATAACTTGCACTTAAAACTTTATCACTTCTCCCAGTTTTCTGTATTTGTTTTTCTGCTCACAGACCTCATATTCCTGTCAGCAAGTTAATGGTTTCCGAATCTTATGACACATACATAAGCAGAAGCTACCAAGTAACGAAAGAAATCATCAGTGAATGTAAAGGCAAAGGTAAGTGCTACGGAGGGGATGAAAAACAAGACAGGCTTTCTGGGATGTGAATGCCGATATTCCTGACCAGTCTTATCCTCTTCAAGGAGATGAATCCCCATACCTGAATCTCTCATCCCCTCTCCCAGAGACATTGGAAACTCCTGTATGTATCAGAACTGTGAGTTCAGATATGCTCAGCTTACAAGACAGGTCCATAAACTTAAGTAGCAGAAGTATTTTAGGCAACCATACCCAATGCAAGCTGTCTGTTTCTCAATAGAATAAATAATCCATTTGCCCTCTGCTGTTACCAGCGTCAGATGGGGCATCTTCCATCCCCTATCTGAGCTACTCTTCTGAAATATATTACCATGAAGACTGTAGAACATTTCTCCAAACACAATATTGAAATGAAAAAATCTCCAGCTTTTATTTTTCATTCACAATATAGAAATAGGATGTTTCCAAGTTCTGGTGATTTCACTAATTTCATTTCACTTATCCTTCTCTACATTCTAAGCTTTTATTTTAATAGTTTGCCCACAAACCTCAATCTTGGAAATGGAAATCTAAAGCTATCTAAACTTGTGGAAAACTAGCAACTGAAATTAAAGTACTTCATTTAATCAGAATTGATTTTTGGGTAGGAGAAAAGCATTTGCTTCACAAGGCAGCTGCAGTCTCGCTGGACTTCTTTTCTTCAGAAAGCCATTTTAAAACTGAGTAGCACTGAGTTAACCATTATCCTGGAAAGTGAGAGATGCTCTAAATACGTTACTAAACCAAGCTTTTTCCCCCATATACAAGTAGTTTAATGTGTTGTTACATGATAAACGGATAAGTGGTGAACATTTTAAATGGTTAGCTTGATCTTGGGCACGAGTCCCTAAAGCTGGCTTCATTCCCCTCCTCAGCCTGCGTTTCTCCCTTTATTTCAGGAAATAACATCCTGATAGTGGCACACGCATCCTCCCTGGAGGCTTGTACCTGCCAGCTCCAAGGGCTTTCGCCGCAGAACTCCAAGGACTTTGTACAGATGGTCCGAAAGGTAATTACCAGCAAGGAGCACAGCTCGCTGGCTTTACAAAGAGCAAAGAAATTTGCAATCTGCTTAACCAGGCAGAGGACGCTTTGTTCCTCTCATCTAATCATTCCGCCTGTTACTGAGTTTCATCCATTTCAGAAATCAGGAGAGTAAAGCAGATTGGTTTAAGAGGCTTATCTTAATGTGTCACTTCTGTAACAGATACATGGGATCAGATGCCCACCTACAACTGGGTTTGCAGTGACTGCTTTACACTTGTAGATACTGGGGCTGTACAGAGACTCCCACAGTGCCCTCCAGTGCCGAAAACACCCTAACCACAGTGAACAGGGCACTTCTGCCCTACGACACTTCCCTTTCCCATTTCACTCTGAAAAGCTTTTAATGGTCAGGGAAAAGGCCTGAAAAATACAATGTGGTCTTCTGCCTTCATTGCTTTACTCCCACCCTGGCTAAGGGTGGCAGAGTTGGCATTGTCCACTGCCAGCCTTGCAGACACTCTCGGGGATATTCATAGCTGATGCTTGACCTGAGGACACCCGAGCCAGAGTAGCATCCATGTTTCTGCTCCATAGCTGTGCTGAACTTCAGGGTTTTGGACCATGTCAGACTACAGGACATCTTTGGTTTGAATTGGCCCCTATTTAAACAACGTTACAAGTGTATAAACTGTTTTCCCAGTGTTTTGCACGTACAAAGGTACACAAAGTCTGCCTGTCACACCTGAGTCCTGTAATCATCTTTTGAAAATGGACTTTGAGGAGAGGGAAGGAGAAAGAAGACAGTGAAATGCTTCAGTAGCACAGCAGGACCTCAGCCTTTAGGGGACCACCTTCCTTGCACTGCTTGATCCCTGATCATTGCCTTTATTTCCATCTCTCTTCACACAGATTCCATACTTGGGGTTTTGTTCCTGCGAAGAACTAGGAGATACAGGTGTTTGGCAGCTTACGGACCCCCCAATCCTCCCTCTCACACATGGACCAACTGGAGGTTTTAACTGGAGAGAAACCTTACTACAAGAGTAGTCAAAGCTACATGAGCAAGGAAAACCCATGGCCTTTCTAAGTGTTGGAGAATGTCTCTTTCTTGTGTTTATTGACAGTGGAAAAATAGTCATAATATGTTTGGTGGATCACACAAACAGCTGTTCTAGCATATCTCTCATACAGCCACAGTCATGCAAAAATTCCATTTATACAACTAGTAAATACAAAGAGAGTGATTTGAGGGGAAAAAAAATATTAAAATACAGATTGAAGCTCTTGCACAGCAGGGAGTCTGTTTAGTCAGTAGCTCGGGTAGGTTTTCCCACCTTGAACGGAGCTCTGATAACACCAGTAACTTTCACTGCCTTCTGCACCGCATTAGAAACAACGAGCACTGTGTAAAAGTCGAGCATTCAGGATGCTGGGGGTTTTTTCACTACTATTTTTGCAAAGCATTGGCAGGCTTGTTCAGGAGCACGTGTTGACACCCCCTCACTCACAACCCCCAAATTCTCAGCACCTTCCATAAAGCGTACCACCACCAGCTGGAAGTAAGAGTCTAGCATTGCCTCTGCAGGCAGCATCAAACTATTCCTCTCCTCTATTTGAGCACTGTGTTAAGTGTTGTGTTGGGCATACCGTGGAGGCAAAGACTGATTGACACTGATCCATGTCAGAAGAAAATTCTGAATTTCACATCAGTTACAGATAATGTTTGCACATCAAAAGACAGCAAAGTTATAAACAAAGAGTGGGAGCAGTTTGTTTTAAGCAGGGATGAAATAAGCCTTTTCCAACCAAACCTGAAGGACTTAGAAAGTTGGGGGGGGGGTTCCTTTATTTAGGTTACTGAAATCCACCCTTGTGCACAGACGCAGCCTAAAGTGTTTGTGTCACTTAAATTCCCTTCAGAAGACCTTGGAAAAGGGCTTTCCCTTTTATACTGAGATTTTGTGCTGGTCATTTACACAGTGGTGGCTTGCTGTCCCTGGTGAGCTTTTCTGTCAGCCCTGGTGAGATTCTGCAGTAAGCAGCTTTCTTAAGAAGGTAATGATGAAATCAAAAGATGCTGAAATTCAGCCTCCACTGCATGCTTTGCTTCCTTTTCCTTCATTCCTAAGGTGCCATCTGTCATAAAGACAAAGCAGAGCTGAAAAAACAGTACACTTAAATCTAGGAGCAACATGCTTTGGCCTATTAAGATGCTATTTATCTGGTAGAGGAAGGATTAGGATTTTGAGAGAAGGGATAGAGAAGGATTTCTATCTGTATCTAAAATCTTTGAAATCACAAGTGTCCTCTTAAGGCAACAGCCTGCAAGATCCCAATACCAGCCGCTTCACAGGAGAATGCAAAATATACTACAGTGGGTAGTTTATAGTATAAACTGGCTTCAGAGCAGGCTTCTTTTAGGTTAATGTTATCTTAAGTCATCAGCCTCGGATCAAAAAGTTCCTGCAGACATTTGTACGGGTCTTATCAGTGGGCTCGCTTTCAGAAGGTACTTAAAAAATGGCCTAAATAGGATGAAAGAGATTTAGGCATACTCCTTTCTTGGTTTGGGCCATAAGGCTGAGTTTTCCCATAAATAGCATCAAAAACAATTTCAGAAGTACCAGGAAAGAAATTCTGGCATCCTAGGTACCCCTCTTCTGTCCAGCTTTTCCTCTGCAGGAAGTGTTAGTGTCCTCATTTGAAATGGTTGCATGGCACAGAAGTTTGTGCTGGCCAGCTTCAACAAAGACTTGTTATTCATAGCAAGGTCAAAGTTTGAATTTTGTGTGGCTTCTTTTCACCCATCAAGCCATCGGCAGGACTGGTCTCACGAGGATATGATTGAGCTGCACTTTTCAGCAGTCAGAACAAATAAGGAGTGATAAACTGCAATCCCTCCTTCTGAAATGAGGCAGAACATTCAGCAATTGCAATGTAACAAATCTTAAGGGGTTTTAGCTCAGCTTTGTCTCGAGGTTTTATTGAGCTTGCCAGGGAGAGTACACCAGATTCTGTACATATTTTGAGTCAGCAGAGAGCTCATCCTGTGCAATATGTACATTGTCACGATCCATAACAATAGTCTATTATTTATACATTTATGACTGTGTAATACATAGTAGGCCATTCATAAGTGCATTATTATACCAGGGATGTATACTGAAAAGTCAGGGAGATAACTTACAAGATGACAGAAGAAACTGCTCTCGTGCAGTTATACTGCTGTCACTTTAGTTTTTACCTGTAATTTAAACTATTTTTGGCTGTGTACAGACATTCTGAAGAGCATTTCTGGCTTGTTTTCCTCCATGCTTACTCACTGCAAATTTGCAAAGAGTTTAAAACTAAATAGATGACAATCACACCAAACCTAATTTGGTTACTGATGCACGTGTAATTCTCTGGACTGCTTTTTATTTCACACTATGGGCCAGCAAGGTGTAATTTGAGGCAACAAATATTGCCTGTACAAAACAGTGGAGGCTGCTCAGGTCCTACTGCAGTGAAGCAAAATTACAAGGAGTTTGTTTAGACAGAAGCATGAAACAGCGAGGGAACAAAACCTGAATGCACAATTTGAATATTGTACTAGCTGATCTTTGCATATAGTAAGTAATATAGAAGAGTGTTCTGTTTGAGAAGGTAGATGTTAAAATACTCTCTTCTTAAAAAAAAAGTATATTTTTGGATGTTCAGGAAAGTATTTTAACAATTGTAGTCTTGTCTCAAATTAGATTTTTCAGGTGTCAAGAATCTCAGCAGAAAAAACTTATTTTCCGTTAGCATTTTGATTTCTCATAAGGGTTTTGTGTTAAGTAGTCTCATGTCAGTAAGGCTTATTGAGAGAAAAAAAAAGTTCCGTATAAATTTTTAAGTGTGATGTTAATAATACAAAAGAATTGCTGCTTCACTTTCACTCCATTGCTGCTCATTAATGTGTACTTAATGTCGCTTCACTGTTTTGTCCCAGAAGAACATTAGACTTGATCTATCTAAAGTGTGGCAAGTCTTTTCCGTGCCTTCATTGTGAGCTGCATCAGATCCCAACAGTGTAATTAGGATATAGGAGGTAAATAGCAGTTCCTAGGTTTTTCCTTCTCTTCCCAATTAAGGAATAAAACTGGAAATCTGACAAGAGTAAGTTGTTCGTGCAGTATTTTCATGAACTGCAACTTAAGGGTTGGACTAGAAGAACACAAGAATCGAAGTGCAGAATCAAATTCTAGCACAGCAGCAGCTGACGGGATGACACTCGGCACCAGAAGGTCAAAGCCAAGGTATTTGAAAAAGTTCAGGTTTGACCAAGAGTTTGTCCTTATCACTGGACTTTGTATCTCCCTCTGCTAAAGTGGATGGGAGGGGGCTGCAGTGTGCCCCAACCCCAAGGCTTGAGCTCTGCCTGGGGATTTCTAGTTTAATGCAGGTGCCAGGTCTGAAGTTTCATGCATTTCGCTTACATTTAGTGCAGTGGCAGCTACAGCCAAATACGTAAATCCTCTGAGCATGGGGCCGGGTTCACTGGGAGTGTAAATCAACACTGTATACTCGAATCAACAGAGCTTTCCTTGTTTATGCAAACTGAAGATCCAGGCCATAACGTCAGAAAAAAAAACTTATTTCCCTTTTCACTCAGTCTGAACAGTTTCAGAAAGAAGTCAGTTGATGGTAGGAGCCTCCTTCTGACCTCTGATGTTAGCTTCTAGTGCCAATGTTATTATGAAAGTGGTAGTTCACATCACCAATTAAGTTTACAAGAACTCTGTAGGATTTAGCTTTAGTGACGGTAGTGCCAGTGGTAACTGCAAAACAAAGAGGGTTGAAGGGACACTACAGTGATATTTCCCAGCGTATGATTTTGTATCCACAGCCCTGAGCCCCTCAGGCAGCGATATCTTAGGGAGGTGGGTACTGTCATCTTTGCCTGTGCACTAGCTGCAGCTGTTGGAATAAAAATTTCAGAGGATGGGGAGGGGATTGTGTACAGCCCTGTGACAAACTCGGTCTTTCTACTTAGCTCCTGCGTACTGCACTGGATGCGAGGTGTTGTAAACTTTTCCCTCTGCATCCTGTGGGTCCTTACAAAGGCCTGATTTAGAGCCCAGGGAAACAAAGAGGAAGATTTCTCATTGTTTCCTCAGGCTTGGGATGAAGCCACACAAAGCCTGGTCCTACCACAGGCTGCTCCCCTCAACCTGCCACTGACTTAATGAGGGATTTGGAGAACTCGTACCTGTGCGGCGCTGAGCCCTTCCAGTCCTGATTTCAGAAATGCATACAGAAATAGAGCGGGATTTAGTGTTTGATTACATTCGTGTTCATTTCAAAAAGAGGGATGCTAGATGTTTGAGTTAAGCTGTAGTCAACTAACCCTCATTTAAACCCACAGCTGGAAATTAGTTTGCAATGCTTCACAACTTAAAATGTATTGAAATTCTGTATGAAAACTATTGTTTAGAAATCGAGCCTTAATAGGCTTGGTTTGATTTGGTTTGTTTTTAAAAAGGAGCCTAAGCATAGAGGAAATTATTGGAACTTTTAAAATAGATGTGAAATGTCAGTGGTAGCAGACATACTTAAAACGGTGAATGAATGAAGAAACAAACAAAATAAAAATAAGTAGTAAGTGTGATTGGCTGTATACACTCTAAATTGCTACTTACTTCTCACCACTTCCTCAGATACTTGTTCCCCAGAGAATATTCATGAACCATACATGCTACATAACAGAAAATACGAAGCCAGTTCCTCTGTTACTTCTCATTAAAACGTATTTTCTGAAGTTTCGCTTTGTGGACATCTCTTAAAACTTGATGTTATCAATGGATACTTTTCTTTTTTCCCATTTTAAACCTGTTGTATCATTCTGTTTATTATGTTTTTTAGTGTAAGCAGATTGTATTTATTTAAGAAAAATGTTTGCTGTTTAAAAAAAACCCAATAATTGTATTGCCAAAAATAGCTGTAATTACCTGTGACATCTGTATTTTTTTATTTGGGGGGGTGGGGGGGAGGTGGTTGGTTGTTTTTAAACTCAATTTCAAGTGCTAACAACTGTTGAAACAACCACTGCATTTTAATTTGCTTATGACATTAAATGGATTTCTCGGAAGTCAGACAAAAATGTCTCGTAGATGATTTAATAAAGATGCCACGCACCCACACCTTGCCTTCCTTATTTAAATTTTCCTCTCAAGCATGTTGGACTTTGCTGGAGTGAATAATCTGACACAGATCTTCAATGAAGTGCCCCTTCAGAGTGGCCCATGCATTGCTGGGGTGCACCTGAGCAGTATTTTCAGTGGCTCCAGCAAGATGTAGGTAGGAAAGACGCCTGTACTGGGCGTGTGCCTAGAAAACGTCTGTACCGGGACCTTGAAACAAAAAGGGAGTCAGGGCTGTTTCTCAGTTTGGGTTGCAATGCTGCCCTCACCACATCCCATTTTGGGATGCCCACCCAGATGGGCTGTAAGCCTCAGAAGCATCAAGGAGAAAGGGGACTCTGAGCTACATTTTTCTTCCCTCCACTGAAGATGGAGTTCATTTTTTTGACAGTAGATGGCACAAAACCATCTCAAGTCTGGTTTTCCGTCTGCCGCACAGGGATGGAGTTTTCCCTCTGGGTTGAAGGCAGGTGGCTTCAGCGTCTCTACTGCTTGATGGATTTTTTCCATAGAGTTATTTTACCATCAGGTTTAGATGTGTGGAACCAGAAGCACGACTTTTAAACCAAAGCAATGCTTACCTTTACAGCACCTGTCTTCTTTCTTGATCTGGATTTTTTAATCCAGCAGTAGTTTTATCAGCCAGTGAGACTCCTTCCTTTCAAATCAACTATCTACATTAACTTTATGGCCTACAGCTCTCTTTTCCAGTAAGACTGATTATATTACAATTAACATAAAAGCCATAGCTTTTATCAATCAAATATACACTAATAGAATGATGCATTTCCATGCACCTGGAAGTTTAACACGAACAGGTTCTAATGAATTAGAAGTGAAATGCATAATGTATTTATAATTAAGCATTTTGTCCAGTTCACTCAAAGCCATGTCCTGCAAATGGACATGGTTTTTAAAACATATTTCTTAACTTATTAGAGTCAGATCATTTTGACGTTACTAGTCATTTGCACTAAATGTCGGACAGTGACAGAGAAGTGCCAGAAGAGAATCTGCCAAAGCCTTTTTGGAAATCAGCACACGTGGCTACGTCATGAAAACAGGCTCTGCCTACAACAGGCTTGGATGAATCTTGAGATATTACTGGACATCACACACCCAGGAGACACAAAAAGCTTTCCTATGCCCCAGATTGCTCATGAAATAATCAGACCTGGAAGGGGACACAGGAGACCCAGGTTCTGCCACTGGTCCTCTGGGACCTCCTTGATGCAGTCATCCCTCCACCCCATGCTTCAGTGCTCAGTGAACCTTTCATAACCACCTCACCAATGCTCTTCATTCCCCAGAGAGCCACAGACTACCCACAGCAAATCACCTTTCTCTTGTTATTTGTTTTGCCAGGATCCCTGCAAGCAGAGCAAAGCAAACCTCCAGTGCACGGCGTGGTACAAGATGCAGAGTGATGCCAGGCAATTTTTCCAGGGATTTAAACGGCACGCCTAGGTTTTCAAGCAACATTGCCAATTACTGCACTACAGCAGTACTGCACTACCGCACACAGCAGTGTCCACCAAATAAGCTCTGCCTTCCTGGGTGCCTCCCCATCTTGGGGAATTAAATCCTGCACACAGTGCACTTGTAGGATCACTGCAGCAGGGGTCCCCAGCGGGCTTACCCCAGGCCCGCGTTTCTCTTAACCTTTACCATGAACATCTCTCCCCCGCACAGACGCTGAGCGAGACGGAGCTGAAGGAGGTGCAAGGTGAAGTGCCCCCAGTCCTGCTGCCCACCAGTTTCATTTGAGCGACCTGTGAGGTCACCAATTTCTCAGCAGTCGCCAACACATCGGAAATGTGAGACGGGGCGAGAAGAGAGTGGTGGAACAGCAGAGAGAAGGAAAGGAGGCAGAGACCCCAGCAGTGATGAAGTCATGGTAAATCTGCTCCCCCTGTGCTGAAAAGGGACCTGCTGCACAGCGGCCCCAGCAGAGAGAGGAAGCCAGCACAGACTGCCTGCGCCCACACGGCAGCATGGCTTTCACCAGGGTGCTACACATGACGGCTCTGTTCCTGCTGCAAGGTAAGCAATACACCTTGTCTTGCATGATCTCCTCTTCGCAAGCAGGCCAGCTTGGAGAACTCGATTTCCAGAGTTTCAGCACGTCGTGTGCAAGGCAGCTTTGCTGTTGTTTTTTTTCTGGTTGACAATGCTGTATTGTCACCCAGTTTCCAAAGCACTCTGGTGCTGAATTCCAGCTGACTACTAAACCCAGTATTGATGAGACCAATTCATCTCCTAGCGGCTGGCAGAATGCTCAAGATGGCAAAGTGTGGGAAATTGAAAGATTCTCCCTTAAATTTGGACAACAGACTGCTGCTTAGTTTCCACAGCTTGGATATCAGTGTATGCCTTTGTTCATGGTGTTGTGTAAAAAGAGGCTAATAGAAGAAGTCAGAATAATTTAGAAAGCATTTGAAAATGAAAAGCACTGTAAATGCACAATCTGCTTACTCCTACTACAGCATGTAGCTTATACCTACCTTGCTGGTCTCCTGTCTTTCATACTCAAGAGAGTATGAGAGATTCATATTTAACCATGTCAAATATGGAAAGATTTAAGTAAGGAAAGCAGCAAGACAGTTACCTACAGCTCAGGATTCTTGCAGGCTTCACTCCTGGCCTTTGCAGGAGGAATGCATGCATAAGCCTGGTCCTGGCTGAAGCAACAGTCCCTCTCCCTTCTTAACAAATGCTGGAGCAGAAACCATAGCAATGCTATTGCTGACGCTTTGCTAATACTCTCACGCACAAAGGGGTTGTTAACAGAGGCCGCATCCACTCTCAGTGTCTAAACAGCAACAAAACATACTGTAATACTATATGATTATGATATTTTATTACTATTGATTGGGTTTAACAGAAGCCAGGCCTTAAGGAGCTGTCAGTTATACCTTAGCTGAACCAGCACTTGCAGTGCCCTTTAGACTTGCTCCAAATCAGCAGCTTTCACTCTGTTTCAGTGTACAACCCCTCTTCCCCCAATACTGCCACAGACTCCTGCATGATGAATTTGTACCTGCTGACAATGACTGGCTGTTCTTGGCTATCAGAATTAATTCAGACTCTTATTCACAGGTCAGCAGCCACAGCTCAAAAATAACTCATTAAACAGTACATCTCTATAGGCTACAGTTTTAAAGATAATTCTGAAATGATGCATCGAGTGCGTATCACCACAGCAAGTTCTCTGTGCGCTTTGCTGATGGCCAAAGTAATAGCAACCAGAGGCATAAACCATTCTGCTCAGTCGCATCCTGCAATTTCTAGCAAGAAATTATTGCCCTTTCTTGCCAAGAAGGTGGATATATCACCATACTACATGCCAGACTGATTCTTCCAGGTAGCCAGGGCAACAGGGATCCACATGGTACAAGAACCGTTGTCCTCTGGAGCTGGCACAGGACCATCTCCCGCACCCCAGTGACTGTACCATGGTGGGCTACAGTGGTTTGAAGACCACAGCCTATACAAGTAAGGAAATTTGACCTCTGACTTACAGTCTGAATGAAACCATGGTCTCTCACAGAAATTACGTATATGTTGTGTTCTGGGAGCTACTTTTTCCTGTTTTAGAAAAGCAAGCAACACCCCCAACCAGCCTTTTCTTGTTCAGTCTTGCTGCTTTTACCTCAAAAGGTGTGACTCGAAAGACCACACACTGCTGTTAGCAACAGGAAACCGTCACTATGAAAAAGTGCAAAAGGGCCCTGTGGAAAACCACAGACAAGGCCCTCTCTGCTACCTTAACAACATGCACCTCCTGACACAGGTCTCCACAAGTGGAACCCACGCAAGTAGGTTTTCCTTTTCTACTGCTCCTCTGCAAATGACTCCCACGTGGCAAAAGCCCTGAGAAACCAGCTGAGACACTAACCCTAGGAAATGGAGGTGGAATCAAGAGGAAATATAAGCCAAAGGCACCGATGTGCTGTATGTGATAGTAAACCCGTTACAGCCACTCTAAGATCAACAGGGCTTCACCGGTGTACAGTGATTCAGTCAAACTCAGCCTATGGTGTCTCCTGGCACCGTGCAGTAAGGACAGACAGCAGATCTGTATCGTACCATTTCTCCTTAGCTAAAGTAGCATACATCATACCTACAAATTCAGAAGTAAAAATATTGAGGTATTACAAGGAAATCTACCGGCTTATAGACTCCAAAGATTAGATAGTGAAGAAAGAGGAAAGATCTATGGTGTATTTGCTATTTGCGAAGTCCCAAGCTACATCACTGATCGTTTTCTCATGCCACCTCTGGCCCAGAAAATATCACATGTGCTCAACTCAAGGGTAAGGCATCGCAACGGATCCCGATGAGAAAATACTGTCTTACAGCGAGACAAGTCCTTCCTCTGATTTCAGTGATAAAAGATCAGGTACAGCAAGAATGCCCTACGATAGTTTCTTTTCTGGTGTATTTTAAAATGTTTTCAAGAAAATGAAAAGCTTTCCTGAAGCCCAGAAAGATTAATTTCCCCAAACCACAGTGTTCATGTGTGCAGTAGGAACTTGCAGCAGGCAGCTACCTGGAAAATAAAATCAAAACTCACAAAACAGGAATGAAAAACAAAACCTTCTTACTGCCTATTTACTTAACTCTGACCCAGGCACTGCTGTTAGTAATTTCTCAAGGGCATGCTTTTTTCTCAGAAAGGCAATTTATTCCAGGTCATCAAATATTTTCACAAAGTATCTTAGAATGTCTGGAGAGAAAACCACTTTACTACCCATCTGTAAAATGAACTGGGAGTAGAGAGAATGAAATTTAATTTTAGTAACCTCTACCAGGCCAGGTTTGTGGATTCTATCTTCAAAAGAAGTCTCAAAGTCAGTTCAAACCAGTTGCAGCATTACAATTCCTGAATAAAAAAAAGCCTGAAACTTCAGAGGTGCTGATCATTCACTACTCAGTCACATTCGCTTGCAAATCAGGTTCAACCGCTCCAGACCAGAACATGGAATAATAAAAATTAATGTTTGTGTTAACATACAGGGAGAATGTGCATTAAATGGGTCTGCTACCAACCTGCATTGACTCATGTGGAATAATGTTTAATAACTAAATCTGGCTGGGCTAGCAGGTCAAGATCACAAAACTTTGACACAAGTTTTACCCAGTGACTGTGATGACCTATCTGTGGTTTATTTATATCAGTACAATCATATTGGCAGGTTTCCTAAAGTAGAAAAACCTTTACACCCTTGAGAAAAGGAAAGTTGACATATTACTCTGTGCGAAACACTGTCGCTTTACTTCATGTCACAATACTTTTTTTTTCCCCTCTCATCTCTGGCAGGGGATTTTCCAAGTGCTGGCAGTGAGACCATAACTCTAAAGGAAGGAGAGGACCTAAACCTCCACTGCACCCTCAGCAGCCACGACAGTTCTGCCCGGCAGTGGTTAAACCCTCACGGATTTGCCATTTTTCTCAACACCCAGCGGGGTAAGTGTGAAAACTGAATGCATCACTTTCCACATGAGGCTGGAGGGTCACTCAGAAGTGGGCTTTCCCAATTCCAACCCATGGCCAGTTTGACTCACTTGCTACCCAACCGCTCAAGATGGTTTTATATTCAACCCCTTTCTGGCAGGAAACTGATGAAATGGAAACCCTCACAGGAGTGGTCTGGCACTAGAGCTTTTAGTAACAAACTGTCATTAACACCAGCACGAAGAGATTAGCACAAAAACACACTCTTGACTTACAAGAGAGACAGGAGTGGATGTGCCTGAAAGCCCTGAGTACTCTTCTACTCGTCATGGAATTCAATGTAGTGCATCAAGAGGAAAATTTTAGAAAACAAGCACTGATTTCTAACATGTGCTGACAAAGCCAAAGTTACAATCACTGTGTTCTCTTCCACTCTCTACACCTAATATATCTCTGTCCTTATCTCTCCTCCTGCTGGTCAAAACCCAACAGCTCTGCAAGATGAAGACTGCCTTGTTCTTCCCCATTTGTACAGTACCTAGTCATCAGCCCTGCTTGTCAAAGCCTTTAGGCTTTAACGATGATAATGACTGGGTTTTATGCAAATGACATTGGGTACCCAACTCCTCCTGAAACAGCCCAGGAACTGAGGGTCCTGTTCAGGTGCTCTGGGAATCCCAGACATCAGATCTTGCCAACCACAAACCAGCCTACTAACATCTCCTGCAAATATTGCCAATATTTATAAATGGATAATGTCATGAGTAACTGTTGCTCCTATTTATTCACTTATAAAAGCAAGTGGGATGAGTGTTCATTAGCAATTTTAAATGACTCACACATGTATTAGGAACTGTTTTCCTGTGGAATCCAGGATCCCAGGTTCAGTACTCTCAGAATAATGCATACGAAACATTAGATTCAAATGGGATCAAAAATACTCGGTGATGAGCCACTGACAGTTAATCAGTATGGGAAACAGGGCTACTGCAACCCTCCCTGTGCTGCTTTGACATCCAGGCTTCCAAAAGCCACAGCAGGCTACGGCGGGAGCTCCTCTTCCCTGTCTGTTAGTCCAGTCATGCAGGTGAGAACTGCAAGACCTAGGAGGAAATTACCTGTCCATCAGTTATCTCTATTTTTGATACATATGTATGTTGTCAGTATTTTACACCATAGAGGTAGGCAAGAGTAGCAAGAATTCCTTCATTTATGCAAGTTCTCTACAGCCCTGGCTATGGCCACAAACACTTTCTTTCTATACAAACCATTTCGGACTGAGACAGTTTATGCTGCCCATATCCAGTTTTAAACATCTCCATCTTTTAACAGCTTTAGCCCTTTTGATGCTTAAAGTTTTTCTGAGTTGACACAGCAATTTAATAAAGTTAGAGAAAGAACATACCCACTGGTATCTATAGAAGCAGACTCTAACCCAACTGAACAAAACAGTATCTGTCTTAAATCAACTGGGGATTCAACCCATAGTTTCAACATCCCACTATTATCCTTCTGTAAGACACATGATATAACATCCACAAGGACTAGAATTCGCAAAGCGTTTGCATCCTTGAGTAGTCAGACACACTGATTATTTTTCTTTTGTAACACAAAAGAAAACACTCCTCATTTAGAGAGAAACCAAACTTTACACTGCACATGGACATTTTCATTTTTTATTCTGAATCACCACTGTGAATCTCTGTTACATTGCTTCTCCAATAAACCACTTTTTGAATCAGTTCCCTCCAGTCTCATTGTAGTTAAAAGTATGACAAGCTAGCTACAAGTCTCAAATCATGGTGATTTCAAAATCCTTTAACATTTAATCACTTCTATATATTATAGTACTGCTGTGATTTTCTCTCAACTCTGTACTTTTACAATATCCCAGCTAAAAAAATTAAAAATAAAAATGTAGGTTTTGAGGTCTTTTTCTCCCTAATGACTGGTACACATCCCCAGTTTCAGTTCAATTTAAGGGCAGAAAGTTACGCTTTCTGTGCTGCGATTGTGGGAAAAGTCCATGTGACTTGCTGGCCTGACCCCAAGGACTCCCACGGGTCATCCAGCAGAAAGAATGAAGTAAAGACTAGAAAGTTGAGAAAAAGGGGACTGTACAGCAGAGTATAGATATCCTAGGAGATGGTCTCATTAAAATCAAGGTAGTTAGACAAGGATAGGAGAAGCAAAACGGCCAATTAATAAGCAGTTAATAAAGAGGTGTGTCCTGACCATAGTGCTCATTTATATTCAGAAAATACACCCAAAGACGGGAAGTGATTTTTTCGAGGCCAAATAAAGGCTTGGGGAATGGAGAACAGAAAGGTCTTCAGTTCATGCATCTATGCTCTATATTCAAAGGTCACATTACTTTTCTGACCACATATCATGTCCTCACAACCCAATGTTTGCTTATACTTATCCACCTAAATACTTAACCCAACTTGCTGTAATAATCTGGGAACCCAAGAGTAAGATCCCTTGAAAATAAAAGCAAGAAAAAACATGTCATTTTCCCCACTGGCAGCACACACATCCCCTTCTTCAGTTTACTGCTGCCTCTGTACTAGCACAGCACCAGCTAGGAATGCTTTGTGCTGGAACTGCTCCCTTATGTCAAGTGTTGATGAATTAAAAGAATGCAATAAAAAAACCCTATCCTCATTCATTACTGCTTTGATTATCTGTCTTCCTCTTATGTAGCAACACACATATCATGCTGGGTTTTATTTTCCTTACAGCTTTAAGAGATCAGAGGTACAAACTTATCCATTATTCAAAGGATGAATTATCCATCCAACTGTCTAACGTAACAGTGCACGATGAAGGCGTATATAAGTGCTTCTACTATGGCATCCCGTTCAAAAGCAAGAGCAAGACTGTGGAGGTATTAGGTAAGCTCCTTCACCTGCTTTGTTCTAGAGGAGCAGAACAACAGACCCAGCTCCTCAACACCAGGCCTGCATTTTTGCATGCAGCTGTATGGTGCTTAACACAACATAATCCTGGTCTTTGTTCAGTCCCCCCCAAATAGTACTATGTATGCAGCCATTCACAAAAATGAGTAGAAAGATGTACTATAACTGATTCTAAATCTTATTGCTGCAGCTGCACCTTCTAATCCAGTACTGGAAGTATCCCAAGACGCAAAAAGAAGCATTACACTGTCTTGCTATACTCAAGGATGTAAACCACAGCCCCAGATTACCTGGCTGTTGGACAACAGGATAGAGCTCCTTGGTAAGTTTTAAAG